GCTCCCTGCAGGACTGGACCAGTGCAGAATAATCCTCCTTGGAGATGAATCCCATCCTCCAGCCTTTGTAGGCTTTTCTTTTTAGGCTTAGGAGGTCTGATAGATCCCCAGAGAGCCAGGGGGGCTGCTGTGCCCGCTTGCTGCCTTTCCTTCAAGATGGAATAGACTTAGTTTGTGCATTGAGGATTGGTCCCTTGAGGAGCAACCACTCTTCTTGAACTCCCCTATCCTTGGGGTCATGGTCCCTTAGGGCCTCACTGACAAGCCTCCTGAGCTTGTCAAAGTCGGCTTTCCTGAAGTCAAGGACTTCCGTGTCGCTGACTGACTTGCCAGCTTTACGGCAGATGGTGAAGGTGATCAGCTCGTGGTCGCTGTCACCCAGCTTCCCGCTAGGTCACCGATTAGGTCATCCCCTGTAGCCAGTACCAGGTCAAGCAGTGCTTTGCCTTTCATTGGCCCATAGACATCTTGAGTCAGGTAGAGGTCATCCACGCACGAGAGGAAGCTTTGCAACCACTCGGATTTTGCTGAGTGATCTTCCCACGAGATGTCCGGGTATTTGAAGTTACCCATGACAACCATGGTCCTGGAGCACATGTATAAATGCCAAGACATTACACCAAGACATTTACTGTGGAGCTAATTAGGCAACTGAACAGTAAACATCGTGTATAGACATGTCCAGTGGGTACACTGGGCCACACCCAGAGGGTGGTAGTGGATGGGTCCTTCTCAACCTGGAAGGACGTGGGCAGTGGGGTTCTGCAGGGCTCAGTCCTCGGGACTGCACTGTTCAACATCTTCATCAGTGATTTAGATGAGGGGGTAAAAAGCACTCTGTTCAAATTTGCTGATGACACTAAGATGTGGGGGGATGTGGGCACACTAGAAAGAAGCAACAGGCTACAGTCAGACCTAGACAGGTTACAAGGGTGGGCGGATGAGAATAGGATGGGTTTCAACACAGACAAGTGCAAGGTGATGCACCTGGGGAGGAACAACCGGCACCAT